TTTTTTTATTCTGTTTCTTTGTGTTTTGCTTTAAATTCCTGGTACAGTTCCAATGAAAAATCATCTGTTGATTTTTGAAGTAGCAGCAAAAAGTCTATTATCAACAGGTAGTGGTAGTAGCAGTTTTTGCTATTTACTATCACTCTTAAAGAAGCAAGTGCCAGTCTTGCTCTCCTTCAGACCATGCTGCTCTAGAAATTCTTTGAATCTATTATTCCAATATGTGGGTAATTGCTTTAGTCCATAGAAGCATTTTATCAATCAATGTACTTTATCTGACTTGCAATCATAGCCTTTTGGGTGTTGTATGTAAATTTCTTCATATATTGTCCCATACAAGAATGCAAATTTAACACCAAATTGTATCCATCATCTAGTGCAGTGCTCCGCAACCTTCTTTCACCTGCGACGCACAAAAAATCTTTCTGGAATTTCGTGGCACACCAAAAGCTAATGTATATATGTATTGATTTATACACAAAATTTACAATAAATTTTTGTTTTTAATTTGAAAAATATACAATTATAAAACCATAACATATTTATTTATATGCAATCATAATAATTATCAATATGATACCTGCGCTTGCTTCAATGAACACAAAAGTTTTATATTCGGCTCAATATCTGACAACGCAACACAAAGTTCTTGGTCAAGATCTTTTAAGCATGACTGCGTATCATTTTTAATTAATAATAGAGTTGAAAAACTTTGCTCATATAAATATGTCGTAGAAAATGGAAGAAATGTTAAAATCGCTTTTTCGGAAATATGAGGATATTCTTTTTTTTAAAAAAATTAAAAAACAAAAATTCTTCAATTTGATTGGTTTATTTCAAATTAAAAAAAAACAGTTTTAGAGCTATTATTTTTAATTAAAATGGTCTGAAACCAATATATTTTGTTTAAATTTATGTTTAAAAAAAAGTTATATATTTTTGAGTTCCAAGTTATCAAGGAAGTGCCGAAAAAATTCAAATGCTGACACACTTACAATCACACACACAACCACACAACAGTGAAATATATAAAAACATTTAAAATAGACATTATTAAGGAAAAAATTGTCATTGTGTATTAAATACATGATAAAAAATTGCAAAATGTCAAATACATGTATTTGATTGCGGCACACCTATATCCTACTCATGGCACACCAGTGTGCCGTGGCACACACCGGTTGCGGAGCACTGATCTAGTGAAACACTTATACAGAATGGATTGTTTCAAAATGAGCAACCAGGCCATTAACCAGTCTCACAGTAATCAGTATATTCCTTTTGGGAAAAACCTTTTGTCACAAGACAAGCTTTGAATTTTATCAGTGCTTCCATTTGCTTGATGCATCACTTTATATACCCACTTCTTTGCAGTAGCTTTTCTTCCATCTGGTAATTTTGTCAGATGCCATATATCATTCTGTGATAAAGATTTTGATTCATCTTTCATAGCAGCGTGCTACTCATCCACATTCTGTGATTTCATTGCTTTGATAATAATTTACTGGTTCTGTGCGTTCCTCAATTTTAACATTTAACCAGACATATGGGTGGTTTTATTTCCCTTCTTATTCTATATTCTCTGTCGTTGCATCTGGATCAAACTGACTCACAGTGTTGTCTGTTGAATAAGATATTTCAGGGCATTGTTACTGAGAGATAATTATTGGCTTGATTTTTACAACTATTGCTGTTGAAACTAATTTCGGGGAAAACACAGCATCGCTGTTTCAATCATAACGATAATGTTCCAACATAAGTCAGTATGTATGCAACTGTATTAGCATTTCAGCTCATGGTAACTTGGGTAGATCTTTAGCACATGTTATTTTTCTTGCTAAATGTACAATTATTCTATTGATTTATTCAGCTAATCTGTTTTGTTGTGGTATATAGGGAGCACTATAATGAAATTCTACCCCTCCCCCCCTTTTTTTCTTCCTCAGAAGACCAGTTTGATACTCCACCATTATTAAGAACTGCTTTAATTTGCCTTTGTCATTGATTCTTGAAGAAAATACTAAATTTTTCAAATTTAGTTTCTTGAAGAAAATACTAAAATTTTCAAATTTAGTTACAACTTGCATACTTTTCTATATTTAGAATAATCATTTGAAAAACAAAATAGCAAGACTCACTCTGCATTCCTCCTCCATAGGTTCCCAAACATCAGTGTGTGTGAACTCATTGATATTTTTTGCTCATTGTTGATGGCTTTGGAATGGCATCCTGTGCTGTTTACCTAGCACACATGCTTGAAAAAATTCTTCATCAGATTTGAATTCCATTCTTTGAGAATGGAACAATCTTTTTACATGTTGCTAATTCAGATGCCCTAGCCTTTAATGGCAAATTTTAAGAGTGTTCAATTCATTTTATTGAGCTTCACAGCTGACACCATAATAGTATTATCCATTCTGTCTGTTCTTAGATAAAATTATTTTGCATAACAATTGAAATAAATTTCTGTTAAAAATTCTGACAGCAACAACATTATTTGGTGTGATAAATTCACATTTGTCCTTTAATATACTGCATTCTGAACCCCGTAATCTTAAGCTTGACTTGCAGAAAATAGGTTTCAGGAAGCATCTCAAGTGTTCTGCGTGATATTGTTCTTCCAGGTGTCGTACAGAAACATTTTTACAGCCGTACTGTTTTACTATAACTATATGCTTTCATTGTTGAATTGTTTCCAATTCAAACTTCTCTAGGTCATTCATGCTTTGCAAATGTTTTTAACCAGTCATTTGTTTGTTGCATATTATGTAGCTCTAGTATCCATGACCCTCATTACTTTCTGCAGTCAACATTCACTCATAAAAACTTCATGACTGTTAAAATTTCTGTCATACACATTAGTACTGTTTTTCTGAAGTTTGCTGTCCTTTTTCATGTATCTTCTTTTTCCACGCTTGAAATGTTTGTATTGCTTTTTCGTGTTTATCTACAATTCTCTCTGATCTTGATGCATTTTTTCCCCTGAATTAAAAACCTAACTTTTCTTAAGGCTTTGGTTACCAGCACAACCAGTTCATTTCTTCCAGAGTGGAAGGTTCTCAGCTCGGGATGGGGGTGAATGCGGTTAGTCTTTTATTTACTTGTTAAGCATTTAGCATTAGTTTATGAACATAAAAACTATTTTTATAGGTTCTGGAATTATCAATATTTTCCATTATTTTTCTTGTTAATTTATTAAGCACATTAAAAAAGAATCTAAATTTTGGTAAATGTATGCATGTTTTTTGAGTTATGGAAAGGGAAGGGGGAATGATAATCCACCAGTGGTGAAAAGAGTGTATGAGGTAAGAGAGGTGGAGAACCACTGCTGCAGAGAACTCAAATGATCTTCTCTGCTCTTCTGAAACTAAAAATTCAGTCAATGTATGCTGCTCTTCTGATTGTGCATATTAAACCACTTTTAGTGACTCAAAATCACTTGATAGTGTTTTTAAAAGTTTTCTCATAAGAATAAATTTATTGGGTTTCATAGATATATTATGCATTTGTGATAAAAGATGCTCTAATTTTGTATGTGCATGGCCTTTGATTCTGTAGGATCATGTGCAAAAAATGAGAACTGCAGTTGACATACATATTGGGCTTGCTTATTCTTCTTTTCAAAGCATCTCATGTAGTTTCAACACATTTCACTGGCTGTACTGCATATGGATACAAGATCACATATTCTTGTGTCTAGCATCTGAAAAAATATTCCATGCACCACTTTACTGCCTGTATCAAACTCAGTTAATTCACTATTGTATTGATTATGATTTTGCTGCTGAAGCATAATCAGGAACAGGGTCTGGTTTGATGGTGTTGTCAGAACACACCTTGAACACTCTTTTCTTTTTCCATAAATAAATCCTTGACCATCTACACCCACTTGACCAGTTTACAGAGCCAAGGAATTTATTTGTTGTGAACAGTTCCATAATTATTATTATTATTTTAATTCCTTGAAAAATGTCCTTTTGTAAGGAATTCTGTGACTTATTGTTAAATGTAGCATGTTAGGCTTATGCCAGTATCACCATCTGTAATTAAATATGGGACTGAGTATCATAATCTCTTAAGAAAATTCATTGCAGATATTATTAAGTAACAAGTTAAGAGGAAGGAAGGAAAGTAAGGAAAAGTATTTAATTTAAACTTAATGGACATAAGCAACACTTAATGATAAATCTTCAATAATGCAGTGTGTGAATGCATACTCATGATGTGATAACAACAACCAAACTGGTACCACAAGTAAAACAGCAAAAAAGTTGCATGAAATGATATAAATTCAGTTCACGAAAAATACATTAACTAAATGATAGAATTGAAGCTCATATTTTGAAGAACATTTTTTACTGTGAATTGCAGGAGAGATTTTTCTTAAGCTTGCATCAGCCTTAGGGACACGTAATACTATTGTGTTTAACTGCTTGTGTGCACTTGGCTTGGTTTTGTAAGCTTTAGTAGTGGGATGAGCTATCCACTGTTAATCATGTTAAGGAACATTTGCTTCTCTATTTTGCTGAAATCTGACTGGACTCTATCACAAGGAACAAAAAGTGATGCTTCTAAATCATCATGAACTTGAATGAAAAGTGAAATTCATAGGCCCCGGTGAAAACAAGTATTCACCACAAGCATTAAATTATATTGTGCATTTGGTGGGATTTACATGATATAATTCTTTATAAGTTTCTTTAGCTGTGCATCAGCATTAAACTGTCTTATTTGGTTACTGAGCTGTAGTTTTGAGAGAAAGGCCTTCATCGGTAAAATCAAGATGAACAATAGCGGCTAGCAATTTCAATGCTAAGGCATGTGAATGGTGCATATTTTATGCAGTAATAAGCTTTTGGTTATACTAAACATTATATGTTTTTAAATTGATCCAAACATTTTTAAAACGTTACTGTTATATAAATGTTAATTTCTTCACATATGGATTGTTCATGAGAATGTCTTGTAAAAGTTTTATTAAATTACGGCATCATTTTTAGGGAGTTACATTTCCTGCAATGCATTGTATGTTAGGGCGTTGGTTGCCAAAGTTAGAAAGAAGCATGTTATCTACGATTATCTACAGTGGGGCGCAGATAGGTACTGTAATTGCAATGCCTATTTCTGGACTACTCTGTGCCTCTGATTTCCTGGGAGGATGGCCATCAGTGTTTTATGTCTTTGGTCAGTGATCTTATATATATTTTTTATAGTGCTTTCTTGATTTATTTAGTTTAAGAAGTATTATTTACAATTTATATTTTATAAAAATGTATATAAAATGTAATAAGTGTTTTATGTGGTATTAGTATTTAAATATTTTTATGCATTGGCATGCTTTTAATTCTCAAAGAAAATTATTCTGTGGCTGAAATACTGTAAATACCAAATTATTCAGAGAATTTTTTTTTTAAATTTAAGAATAGTGTTTCTTTTATTAAGCTGTAGTAATTGTCATTAGACGATAAATATTCAACCATGAAATGTTATTATGTGTTTCAGATTTCACATTAACTAGTTTTTTCATGTTTAATTGAATATTGTTTTTAATTAATTAATCAATAATCCACTGATGAAGATAAATTTTCACAAGTATTAAATTGTATTTGCATCATTTCTCATGAAATTAGTTTTTTCTGTTTCATTTAGTATACTTAATATTATAAAAAGCATATGTAGTTATTTTATAGCAGCTGTTAATAACGACAGCATTACATTTGTCTCTAAGAAATAAAAATACTAAAGGCTTATTTCCATTTGAGGCTATTGATAGTAATGAGTCCTTAAAAAGTTCTTGAGACTTCTACATCCAATGAAGTTTGTTAATTCAGTGAGTAATTGCTGAAGGCTTCCATCTATGTTATTGTTTAAAAAGATGAAACACACAGTTACAAGTTATTATTCAGTGGGAAACATGAATAAACCATTAAACAAAATAAGCATATGCTTAGGGCATCAAGAAAAGAAGACATCATGGCAAGATGCTTAGTGCTTAGGAACTTGGGGAAAGGGAAGCAACATAAGAATTAACCATTGCAGGTTTTACTGTGGAATGAGTAGTGCAGCTAAATCAAGAAAGGGAGAAAGACAGCCATAAATAAGGTACACCAAAATCTCTTTAGTGCATATGGACTCTAAAAGATTTAACCTGAACTTGTTCAGTGAAATCTGGCATTTATCCTAACCATGATGTTAAGGCATTAAACACATAAAAGTTCATCATGGAGGAACCAAAGAATTAATTAGAAATTTGCCATTATTCTGGAATTTTGGTACTGACATATCGCAAATAGGCATTCAAGATATTTGTTATTTAAGAGTATCTTTAGGCTATGCATAGCACAACATTGGATGTGTTCATGTGTTAATTTTATTTTTATTAGTAATATTAATAAAACAAATTCATGTAAAAATTAAATTATTTAATGAAGTTTAAATTAGCTAAAAACAGTATCTGCATTTTAGATGCAATGAAAGTACTGTTAGAATCAGCAATGTGAGTTCTCAGTGTTTAAAGGAAAGTAAATTACAGTTATTTCCAGTGTTGATGGCAATATTCCATTTCCTTCCAGTTATCTAAAAATAACATTATGAAGATGATTTCTATTTTATTCCGCCTTATTTGGTCGTTAGTGTAGTGTCATGTTGTGAAGCATGCTAGTAGGAATACTAACAACTACATACCAGAATTGTTATTTCAAGTCCTGAAAGTGGTTGCCTAGGCAAGTTTGGAAAAGTCCTTTTAAATATCCATGAAGGAAATACTTGCACACAAATGCTGAAGGAAGTAGTTGCACACAAATGGGTGAGGGATCTAATGGATTTTGCAGTATTCCAGTCATCAGTATTGTATGGTTAAGAAAAGTATTCCATGGAGCATCATGGAAGTCTGTGCTTTATGTAGGACATGGTAAGTTACCACTCTCATGCTAGTGAACTAGCTCTAAGTAACTAAAGAGGGAGTCAAAGTGATGAGAATAGCATAATGAGAACACTGCAGATGTACTTATATCACTTAATAATGAGTGATAGATTTTCCTAGTAGAATAATGATAGCATCTCGCTCTATCTTTGGGTCATTATTGATGAATTGTTAGTTTGCTATATGCTTGTTTAAGTTTTAAAAAAATTATCTGAATTTTGAACTTATTGATCAATGTGTATAATTAAAATATTAAGAAATATTTTCCCTGAAATTTTCATGTTTATTAAGTAATGTACTGCATTTTTGAATTTTATAATTTATAAATGCACCACTGTCAAATACTCGCACTATAATTCATAATGCAAATATTTCAGAAAATATTGATGTGTGTGTATTTCCTTATTTGCCACAGGTTTTCTTGGCTGTCTTTGGTTTGTATTTTGGGCATGGCTTGTCCATGAAACTCCAGATGTACATCCTCGTATTACAAAAACAGAAATACTAATTATTCAAGCAGGGAAGACTGAGGATGATTTATGTCGTAAGGTAATAATTTAAATTTTATTGATATTCCTGAAGTATATTACTTGCACACTAGCTAATAGGAAAAACCTCAGCTTTATAATAACTATGTAATAGGGGGACTGGAAAGTAATGTCGCTTTCTTACATTAAATTCACATGAATAAATTTTTAACACGTTTTTATTTTTAATCAATAATGTAATCACCCTTGATATCAACAACCTTTTGCCATCTAGTGTGCGGATTTTCAATCTCCAGTCCGATATAAGTCAGTTGGTTTTTGAGTAAAAAATCTCAAGATGGCATTTGGGACATCATTCAAATTTCGAATTTTTTGGCATTAAGAAAATGTTCTAGGGATCGGAATAAATGGAAATCCGAGCGTACGATATTGGGCAAGTATGGTGGGTGATGCAGCACCTCCCATCCCAATTCATTCGTTTTTTCCAGTGTCCGTCTTGCACAGTACAGTCTTGCATTGTTGTGTTGCAGAATGATGCCTTTTCTATTGACAATCGCCGGATATTTTTCGATTAAAGATTGTTCACAATAAAGATCTGCATTAACAGTTTGTCCAGGTTTCAGCAATTCAAAATGAACAATTCCGCGAATACTCCACCAAATACAGAAGCGCCTTTTTGGGATGTAAATTCTTTGTAAACCCTATTAAGACTGTTTTTTGCGTTTTGGATTATCAATATAGGACAAATTTTTCATTCCCAGTAATCAAATGATCAAAAAACGGTTCTGTGTGGTGGCGTTTAAGCAATACGTTGCGTGTGATGGATCGGTTGGCTCTTCGGACAGATTATAGGGGACTCAAACACCTGCTTTGCTTATTTTCAAATTCTGCTTTAAATGTTCTTGGATGGTCGACCAAGGTTGGTTAAGAGTGTTAGACATGGATTTGCTTCCACTTCTGCCCTTAGCATGTTGTTGTCAACATGTGCAGAAACGTCATTACTTTCTGGTCCCCCTATTACAAAGGTTGTTCATGTGTTTTTTTGAACAATTTTGATTAAGGAAATAATTGAAATTAATAATTTGTAAAAATTAATTGGCAGCAGCTTTTATCCTGAGAGATAAATTATCGTCTATAGAAGTAAACAATTTTATAAGTTATTTATGTAAATGTATTTTGGATAGAAGGTTATATTTTTGTACTTTCTAAAGGTAAGTAGTCTCATTTTTCAATACAAAAGGGCTATATGAATCTTGAAGTCAAAAAGCTGAAGATACGATACATAATATCATTCATAACAAAAGAAAAATCGACAGTCACTATTTTCTGCAGGGAATAAAATACAAATATGTTCTGCAAGGAATAAAAAAACAGCATTTCAAAAATTAAATCTGTGTTTCTAGTAGAGGATCCACCTCTCAATAAGTAATGTCATCAGCATATTATATCACCTTGAATGCTTCAGGGGTAGTATTTTGGTATGAATGGATACTGTCTAATATATAGGCACTGTAATATATCCATATTGGTACTGGTATTGTTGAATATACCAGTACCATATATTCTAATACAAAGAAAATAGTAGACCTATTTTAAGAGCAACAAATTTTATTGTTGCTAGGTCTCATGATGCATTGTGAGTGCAGGTTCTGGAAAAACATTTAAATGATAAACTAAAATTGTTTTTTACAACATTCAGAATGCCTGGAAATGTTGTGAGGATGATGTACTTAAATATTCATAAAACATTAGTTTCTGTTTTATTATTACTTCCTTTAAAATATTATTTTTTATTTAAAATATATATATATATTTTAGAATATTTTATCTTTCAAAATAGAAAAATTACCAAGTCCATTAAAACTGTAAACAAAGCTGCTGGAATTGAAAGTCAAACTGAGGATTTGTGTTCTGTAATATTAATATTCTACTAGAAGGCCATTGGTAATTTTTAATTATTGGTAATATTATTGGCCATTGGTAATATTTTACTAGAAGGCCATGTGAAGCAATTAAATAGCATGAAAATTACATAGAAATTCAACCTTGATTTTTTTTACATTATTATTTTTAGTTTATATGCTTACTAACTTGAACTTTGTAACTTAAAGTTGGATACATTAATAAATCAAAGACTATGCACTTCCCTTGTTAGCAGGTTCACTTTGTTTTCTTGTGTATAGCGTAAGATAAGGATAACCACATGAGGACCTTTCATCCCTTAAATTTGACTTGCCTGCAACAAGCAGTAGTTTTATTTTTGAAATGCAATTGCATTTCCAAAAAGAAGCCATTCAACAACACATTTCTTTAATTTAATAATTTAATGTTTTAATTTATATTATGTGTATAGAAATTTAATTGATTTTAAACCTGTCTGCTGTAGACAAATGCTCAAAATAACAAATGCAATGGCAAACAGTTCTATTTCTGAAAATTATAGTAATGGATTTGTTATTTTAGAGCAGGTAATGGCCATCAAAAGAGTACAAAAGATATATACAAAGCTCATTTAAAAATTATGCACTGTAATTGTTCTTTTCCCTCTCAAGTTGTACTTAATTTCAAGCAGTTTATTCTTTACAGTCGTAAGTAATCTCTTATATTAGAAGATTTGTTATTACTTTTATTGCTTTTCTTCAGTCCTGGGATACCTTGAATAATTTGTTGAATAACCTGGAATACCCTGAATAAGAAGCTTCTTTAAGAAGGAAAGACAGAAAAGCTTTGGTTCTTTCAAACTGAGGAAGTATTTGATGTCTGGTGGACTCATATCTAGATTTGATGTCAGTTGAGATAAAAATCTTACTCGATCAGTAGATCTGTCATAATTTTCCCAAATATGTACATTAACATTTAAAGTGTTCATTCCTAAGCAAGTCAAGTGTTTTTTCTGCATTCTTTCTCACAGTTTTTGCAACAATGATATTCTGCAGTCACACTTTTTCTAGCAAGAACTCTTATTTTCATAAGATTCATTGGTATATATTCTAAGCAGAGATAATTGTTTATTTCATCTATGATTGTCCATGCCGATATTTTTGGGCATTATGGGAAGGATGGATTTATTCATTGGATTATTTGTGTGTCAAAGTCACTATCCATATCTGATCAAATTATTGTTGACAATTTTTTTTACCTTTGTAATCAAATCTTTATTTCATTATAGTCACATTGAGCAGTAAGGAATCCATAGGGAAAAAGAATTTTCACCTTCCATGAAATCTTTTTTCAAAATACAATATAGTGATACTGGTAAACTATTGTACACTGAGATATTTCTTTGCATGTTGTTTGAGTATCTTCTGCCTTCTAGTCCATTACAAGTATATCATTTTGTGCATCTGTTAATATTTATGGTTTTCCTGGCTTTTGGTGATCTTATACACCTGACGTGTTCTTCATGAAAGTGGGAAGACCAGCAGAAGAGTGATTGCCTGATTACCGTAAATTTCATGCAATGCACTCCAAAATTCTACTGAAGTTTTTCACGAAAACGTTCACTTTGGAAATATGATCCTAGGCTTTGATTTCTACAGTCACCAGTACCCCTGATACTTGCAGACACCATTTTAAATGCTTATTACTTAAGTGGACATTTGCTTTTGTCTCAGATCTTCATCTAATGTAAATGTATGGAACTTGTTCTGCTATTAAGGTTACCAGAAGTTAATATAAGACATTTATATAGTATGCAAATCACATTTATCAAAATTTATTTGAAAAATTGTGGCAATGCCTTCTAATCTGGAACACATCTGATCCAAAATGAAACAAGCTTATATGAGAAGATATAGAATAAGTTGTAAAACTACATATGAAAAAAAAAAATGAAAATACAGAATACATTTCTTGTAAGAAATTTCGACAGGAATATTGATGTGAATTTTCTTTTACATGGCCATCATCCCATTTGCGCTACCATTCAATTACATTTAACTCTTCGAACTTCATTTTTAATGTCCTAATTGGAGTTTTTGTGACAAAGTTGATACTGATAAGATGGTTCATTCCAGTTATATAACCCGTTTTGCAGTATTGCTAATTTGTGCATTATTTTTTAAGCCAGCATATGTATGTTGGCATTCTGATGTAGTGATAATGCATCTCAGAGTTTACTGAATTTTATTATTGATATGTATAGTTTTTAACGTGTATTGGAAAATATTAAAGCTAAGTCAAATCATGAATTTCCCCAAATTTGAATCTTAATCGTGGAAGATTTTGAATTTGTTTATTATCAGATCTTTTAAATCCTTCAAATATGAATAAGACGACGAAGAAAAAAGAAAGAAAACTTAAAAAACTTAAATGTTTAATAAAGTAAAATTTCAAATCTGCATATAATGAAAAACAAATAAAAAATATATTGTAAAATATATGTGCATGTGTTAAAAGATGGGAATGAAATTTAGTATATAAAGTATATAATATTAAAGTCTTGAATCTTGAGCTTCATTTTTTCAAACATATTTCAGTCCTGGTGTATATATATTAGTTTTGACAAACATATTTCAGTAATGCCTCAAATTTCATTTCACATTTCAGCAGCCATGACCAAACTATGGAGATTTTAGATATTCACATATAACCAAAACTGAAACAATCACATTTTTTTTTAACTCTTCAGCAGTTGTGAGGTCAAGCAATTATTTCTTCCCAAATAAGTCCAATATTGCTGATTTCTTTTACACAATGCGGTGTATAACTTAAATGCGAGCTGAGCTAGATGACCATGTTAATAAATGTTTCTATTGTGTGTCAGTAAAATTAATCTTTCTTTTCCGAAAGTTTTGACTTAAAAATGTTCTAACATTTTTCTTCTGAGTTCTTGGTTAGCATTCCTAATATTCAGATGATTAAAAGATGCATTTTCATGAGTGCTCATTACTGCAAACTTCTGCAGCAGTACATAATTCTTGCTATACTAGGAACAATGTTCAGAGACTACTGTGTGTTTTTTTCCATGCAAAATGGTGTGACATCCCATATTGGCTGACGAAGGAAGGAACAATTGTGTGCTCAATTTGATAATTGAGTAATTTTAAGAAGTTATCTGAA